CATATCCAAGTGCAGCAGCCCAAATAGGTGCCGGTTTGTGTCCTGGCTGCTCCACTTCCCATCCAGCTCCCTGCTTGTGGCCTGGGAAAGCAGCTGAGGATGGCCCAAAGCCTTGGAACCCTGAACCCGTGTGGGAGACCTGGAGGAAGTTCCTGGTTCCTAGCTCTACCCATTGTGGCCACTTGGGGAGTGGGCCAGCAAACAAAAGATTTTTCTTTCTGTTTCTCCTTCTTTCTGTAAATCTGCCTTTCCAAGAAAAATAAATACATCTTTAAAAAAAAAATTAACATATCAGCAGATAAAATAAGGCTTCCAAAGGCTCTATCTTTTCAATAACAACAACTTGATAAATGATAAATATTCATGCTGTCATATTTTGTGGTTCCTAGACAACCCACAAAGAATAAGTGTGCTTAGATAATGACAAAAGTAATTTTATGGTCATATGTCATGGCCAGGGTCTGGAGCACTGGCTCAATTGACAAATCCTTCACCTCCAAGTGCCAGGATCTCATATGGGTATCAGTTTGTGTCCCAGCTACTCCACTTCCCACCCAGGTCCCTGCTTTTAACCTGGGAAAGCATCAAAGGATAGTCGAAAGCTTGGGACCCTGCACCATGTGAAACCCAGAAAAATTCCTGGCTCCTGGCTTTGGATCATCTCAGCTCTGGCCATTGTTTGTGACCATTTGAGGGGAAGAAACAGTGGACGGAATATCTGACTCTCATTCTCTGTGTAATCTGTCTTTCCTTAAAAAACAAAAAAAGACTCATGAACAGGAGTCCAAGCAAGAGAGTATGTGGAAGAGAATCTGGCACCTGTCATAGCACTGAGGGCTCATTTCACTAGCTGCCACCCAAGGAGTCAGCCAGGCCTTGCCCATCACATTGAAGAGCTCACCCACCCGACATCAGAAGACAGTATGAAGCCATTTAGAAGCCTAGCTGCTGAGGAACGAATCAGACCTCGAGAACACAGAACTGTGCATCAAGTATCAAGCACATGTCTGGTCCTAGGACTACCATGAGCCTGGTGGAGCTTACCTGATGTCTGAGGATTCACTGTCAACATCTGACAGCTCCAGCAGGTCCTCTGAACTCCCTTCTTCATCAGAAAAGGACCTCCTGACTTTGGGTTGCAGCATGTCTTGAGTGATTTTATTCCTGGCATCCATACTTCGCACGTCTTCTTCACTGCGACTCTTATCTAGAAGTCAAAGGAGATAACACCCGTCACTGGCAGTTAGATGCTCAGTAAAACACAACCTATACGCTCAGCTGAGCTCACACTCCCAGTGCCTCAAGCCCCACTTGCCTGGGTGCTGGATAAGGTATGCCTCCACAAGGTTGTTCAGGATGTGGTTTTTACAGATTCTCTCCACCGGACAACGGCAAGTGGGACATAGGGATGAGCGCTCCATCCAGCCGGAGTAGCAAGCTGCGCAGAACGTGTGCATGCAGGGCTGCAAACTGAGGTACATGGAAGACACGTCTCAGGGAAGAGTTCTCCAAGGAAGCTCAGAAGCATCTACAGACTTGCTAGTGACCCTTGAGTCAAGGCCCACGCCAGGCCCACCTAAGCGTAGTGGCTACCTGAGTGCCTGGCAAAGAGCAAGAGTAGGCTCCCAATAACTCACCCAAAAAAACACCCTAACTCTAACTTGGCTGGCACCATGGCTTACTGTGTTTTCTGGAGGCATAGAGGAGAGTGGAATAACACTTCAGAACAGAAGCAAGAGGGGTAATTGTGCATTTTTAGATGAAAGTTGAATTAGCTCCAATCCTTCAGTTCTCAGAGAAAAGCCAGGGTAAGGTTCTTCCTAATTTACTCGTGGGGTACTCCTGCTATGGTAAATATTATATTTCTTTCACTAGGAAATGCTTAAGCTTCAGTATAGTACACCTGTCTGCTGCAAGTCAGGAATAGGGTTCCCCCACGTCAGTAAAAATTGATGCCGCCAAAACCTAGTTAGCTTTACACCCTCGTGTCTGGGCTCCAGGCTGTCTCCTCGCTGCTCACGCAGATAAAGTGAACAGCTTAGCCTTAGAGGTCCATTTCACTGCAGTCCCTCTCTCCACACTGAACAAAGCGAGCGGGGTGTCATCCGGGTTGCTCCTGGAGACGTACCTCACACAGTCATGCAGCAGGTCCTGGCAGATGATGCATGTGAGCGTTTCTTCCATCTTGTCTGGCTTCATGGCTGTGGCTCTCACATCCTCATAGGTGGCTGGAGTGCTTTTGTGCTGGTCTGTGGCCAGCAACTGCAGCTTCAGGTCAAGCTCCTCATCTGTAAGAGAAAGAGACAGGTTTTGACTACCATACCAAGGAAGAAATAAAGGGAGAATCTGTCTGACGACAATTCTAACCTGTGGACACGGTCCTCAGAAGCCTGGTCCAGCTGCAGCTATTTACAGTCTTGTTCAAAAGAACCAGAATAGATCTGATATTTCAGCACTTGTAAGTTTTGTTTTTACTTTTATAAGATTTATTATTTTTATTGGAAAGGTGATATACAGAGGAGAGACAGAAAGATCTTCCACCTGCTGGTTCACTCCCCAAATGACCACAGCAGCTGGAGTTGAACCAATCCAAAGCCAGGAGCCAGGAACTTCTTCTGGGTCTCCCATCTGGGTGCAAGGTCCCAAGGCTTTGGGCTACCCTTGATTGCTTTCCCAGGCCATGGGCAAGGAGCTGGATGGAAAGTGGAGTAGCCAAGATTAGAACCGGCGTGCATATCCTGGGCATGCAAGGCAAAGACTTTAGCCACTAGGCCATTGTGCTGGGCCTAAGTTTTGTTTTTAAAACAACATTCTTGGGGCCAAAGCTGTGGTACTGCTAAGCCTGTGCCCTGTGGTGCTGGCATCCCATATGAGCACCAGTATGAATCCAAGCCACTCCACTTGCAGTCTGACTCTGTGCTTATGGCCTGGGAAAGCCATTACACTCACTTAGGCAGTGAACTGGCAGATGAAAGACCTCTTTAAAACCTGTTTTCAAACAAAAATAAATCCTTAAAAACATTCAGGACATATGGCTAAGCAGCCATCAAACAGTATTTGCATATGGCATCATCAGGGGTAGGGAAGCCTGTGGGATGAGTAAGTCTGAAGAAATCACTTGGTCTGTGCCCTGCCAAGGCAACTACAAGTGGTACTCAGAATTAATTCTCCTTTTTCCGGTGGCAGAGTCAAGAGAAGACATGCAGAAATGGCACCTTACAAGGGGAAAGAGAAGGAGGAGGAGTATTACATGTATTTGTTCTGCTATAGTCTTCTGTGCAATGCTCACATGTTGGTCATCATGGATCAATATTAATTAATTTTTAAACACTTATTTGTTTCTTTGGAAAGCAAAATGACATAGAGCATCAGAGAAAGTAATCTTTGATCCACTGGCTCACTCTCCATATGCCTGCAAAAGCCAGGAACCAGGGACTCCATTGGATCTCCTATGAGTGTGGCATGACCATCACCTCTTGGGTGCTTTGGCAGGAAGCTAGCTGGGGAGTTGAAGTGGGACTCGATGCTAGGTACTTCACATGGGAGGCAGGTGTCCCTCTGCATCACAAAGCTTGTCCCTCAAATTTTGTTTTCAACTAAAGGAATATTTACACACCATTTAAAACAGCAAATATTTAGTTGAAAAAAAAAACACAAAAAAACGGCAACCATCCATCATCCTCTGGCCCAGTCTCTCCTCAAACTCTTCTGAGTAAACCGCATTGTGAGTTTTTTAGCTGTATTTCCCCCCCCCGGTATCTGCCTCCATGTTTCTGAACTACAGTAACATGCTTAAATCAACTTTAGATATCATCTTTCAATATCTGTGATAGTACAGAAGGATTTTGATCCCCCTTCCCGATATTAAACATAACTCTTGGCTCATTATATTGTATTTATAAAAGAATGATTACATACTATTTTTTGCTGAGCTAGCTAGTATACTAAAATTGAGTTTTCTTGAATTATTTTTAAATTTTTGACATTAAAACTGCCTCTGCCTTTTTTAAATATATTTATTTTTATTTGAAAAGCAGAATTATTAAGAGAGAATCTTTTATCCACTGCTTCACCCTCCAAATGGCCATAACAGCCAGAGTTGAGCTAACTTGAAGTCAGGAATAAATGGCTTCTTCCAGTTTTCTCACATGGGTGCAGGTCTCCCACATAGGTGCAGGCTCCCAAGTACTTGAGCCAGCCTCTGCTGCCTTCCCTGGTACATTAGAAAGGGGACAGGATCCAAAGTGGAGCAGCCAAGGGGTTAACTATGCACACACGCTAGTGTCACAGGAGGAGCCTTGGTTTATTATTTCACAGAGCTGGTCCTGGAAAACTGTCTCATGTTTCACACTGGCTTATTCCAGGTAACTGCTTTTGACTCTTTGCACTCTCCTCCAGCTATTTCCTCAACTTCCTGCAGACAGAAGCACAGACTCCACTTTCTTCCTGAATGGTCTTTGCCGGGGGCTTCTTAAAGCACCGCTGCTGTGCTGGCCATGCTTTGAGCCTGCACACGGCTGTCTTCTGCCACAGCAACTGCACATGCAGCTATCATCCCACATGGAATGGAGACGTCTCATGATCTGTTATACTTTAGTTCTTAAAGAGCACATCTGTCTCTAAATCATCTTCAAGGTAAATTTCAGATGGTCACTTAACAACATATTTTGGGGTGGGCATCTGACATAGTGGTTAAGGTGTAATCACAGTCATTTTCAGAATGCCTGGTTCAAGTGTTAGCAAATCTACTTCCAACTGAACTTCGTCCCAGTTGGCATCCTGGAAGGTAGCAGGGGAAGCAGCAGATGACCGCCAGGCACTCTTGGGTCTTTGTTACCCTCATGAGAGACCCAGACTGAATTATAGTGTGTGTAGGTTTCATTGTGGCCCCACCCTAGCTGTTTTAGGCTTCTTTGTCTTCCTTTTTTTTAAAATGAAATTAAAATGATCAAAAACCTGTTTAAAGGTAATACTTTCACCAGCATTGTGGCACAGATTAAGCTGCAAGCCCAGCATCTACTCCACATGTATGCCAGTTCGAGTCCAGCATGCTCCTCTTAGCACTCTCCAAAGTGATTCAGCTTCTGGATGGCATGCCTGGAAAAGTAGCGGAAGGTGGTACCAGCATTTGGGCTGTTGCATCCCCATGAGAAATACAAATGGACTTCCAGACTCCTAGCTCTGGTCTGGCCCAGTCTGAGCTGGTGTGGCCTTTAGGAAGTAAAGCAGAGATGGAAGCGCACACACTCTCTCTGTAACTCGTTCAGATAAATAAGTAATAAATTATTTTCTTTTTAAAAACAGGTGGGGGAGGGGAGCAGTGTTGTGGCATAGTGAGTTAAGCCACCACCTGAGACATGGCATATAAAAGGGCCTGTGTATCCTGGCTGCTCCACTTTAAATTCAGCTTCTTGCTGACACACCTGAGAAAGTAGCAGAGGAAGGTCCAAGTCCTGGGCCCATGCACCCAAGCTCCTGGTTCCTGGCCACTCTAGCCCTTTGAGGAACGAGCAAGCAGATGAAGATCTCTGTTTCTTGTAACTGTCAGATAAATATATAAAACTTATTTTTCCTTAACAGTAACATTTTTAAAAGCCACTATCAGGCAAAGGTATTTTAATTGATATCAGCTCTAAGACTGGGAATTTAGTTTCCCCAACTAACAACATTAACTTGGTAGTCAACAGGTTTTTTTTTTTTTTAATTTATTGATTTACATTGGAAAGGCAGATCAGATTTATGGAGAGAAGGAGAGACAGATCTCCGCTCCACTGGTTTACTCTCCAAATGATTTCAACGACTAGAGCTGAGGTAATCCAAAGCCAGAGCCAGGAGTTTCCTCCTGGTATATCCTACATGGGTGCAGGGTCCCAAGACATTCAGCCATCTTTAACTGCTTTCTCAGGCCATAAGCAAGAAGCCGGAAGGGAAGTGAAGCAGCCAGGACACAAACCAGTGGATATATCTGATGCTAGTGTTTGTAAGCAGAAGATTTAGCCACTGAGCAGGGCACAGGTCAACAGTTTTATGTGGACTACACAAACATTCAGAGAATGTTAACAGAACAGAGGAGTGGTCTAGCGTTGGGAGGGTGCTGGCAGAGACCCATGCACTATCCTGGAATGCTCGGGTTCAAGCAACAGTTCCATTCCTCACTCCTGCTTCCAGTCATGCAGACCCTGGGAGGCAGCTTGACGACTCAGATGCGTGCCATCTCTACTGATGACCTGGACTGAGTTTCTGGCTGCAGCAAAGGCCCCCCAAGCCAGAGTTATTGTGGGCTTCTGGGGAGTGAAGCAATGGGACAGCACTCTGCTTTTCCATCTTGTTCCTGCCTCTGAAATAAACAAATAAGCAAACAAAAGTACCATGAAATTATCCATGAGAATAATTTAAAAAGGAAATGCTCGTCTTTTCTCTTCTCTGTATATCGGCCTTTCCAATAAAAACAAATATATCTTAAAAAAAAAAAAAAAAAAAAAAAACAACAACAGGGAATGCTCAAATATCCCAGCTATCAATCTGAGATAGGGCCATTTCTTCTGCAGGAAACAAGGCCCTTATTAAGGGCAGCAGCCACCACAGCACAGAGTATGGTCAGCCAGGGTTGTGGGTGCTCCTGTCTCCTGAGAGCATGCATACCGATGGCAGGATCCTAACCTCCTTTCATTTTCTTTTTAATGGGCTCGAACTCCTCGCGATCCTGGGGTTCCGGCACACCAAAGACTGTTCCTTCTCTGTCTGGGAAGACTGAGGCCTCGCTGGAGAAGTCTTCATCATTTGCTGCAAATGAACCACATCCTTTCAGGGAGATGTCTGTACTCCCGGCCCCTGGAGAGGACAAGAAGACAGACAGGCTGTCACTCAGTCATGTCAGAAGGAAAGCATGCCAGGTAAAGTGTCCCTGGTTTAAACTGTGTGCAGTTTGAAACTTACGGTGTCCTAGGTGAAGAGTAACACATGGCTACTAGAAACATTGACTACTTAGCTCACACAACTGAAATGCACTAACGTTATTGCTGCGCTGGAGGAGCCAGAAGCAAGGAGCACATTCCCAGGCAAAGAACACACACACCACACACACACACACCACACACACCCACCCACCCACCCCGTAACTCGGGTTGGCTACAGAACACACAAGGCAGATCCACAGAACACCCAGTATGTCATAATTCGACATTTCAATGGAGGGCTGCAGAGGCTCCTGGCAGGAGCAGGTATGAACCAGTGCCCAAAAAGTGGGATCAAGGAAGAAGGAAGGGCAGGGCATTATAGATAAAGATCTGTTTTCTGTCAGCAAGAAACACAGGAACAATTGCCCAGACCTCAGCAGAAAGAAAGGTACTTTCCAATAGCCCTGATCTTAAGACCTAGTTACCTTGTGTTTCATGAAAACAAAGAGATCTCCAGGTTGGCTTTGGTCCTGGTACTTGTTTGTACCACAGTCCCTATCCCAGCAAGGCTTCTCACCTCATCTAACAGACCCCGTGGGACACTACTGGGACACTACTTCATGTTTATAGGTGCTCTGTCAGCATTAACTGTAAATTATTTTGTGAGTATGTTTACACTTAGCAACACCTAAGATTGCTATCTTATAAAATACACAATTTATGGACCTGGCACAATGGCTCAATTGGCTAATCCTCCCTTTATAAGCGCCAGGATCCCAAACAGGTGCCAATTTATGTTCTGCCTGCTCCATTTTCCAGTCAGCTCCCTGCTTGTGGCCTGGGAAAGCAGGTGAGGACAGCCCAAGGCCTTGGGACCCTGTGCCCTTGTGGGAGACCTGGAAGAAGCTCCTGGTTCCTGGTTTCGGATTGGCTCAGCTCTGGTCATTGTACCCGCTAGGAGACTGAATCAGCAGATTAAAGATCTGTCTCTCCTTCTCTCTGTAGATCTGCCTTTTCAATAAAAACAAATACATATTTAAAGAAATAATTTATGAATGCATTACTCTTCTAAGACATTAGAGCATTATCAGAAAATTAGTAAAACGTTTTCACTCAGAATACACAGCATGCTACACATAAAAATGGGATGAATCAGAAAACAGTTTTACTGGTCAGGAAGGCTTTCTTTACAGTCAGAGCTGTCTGTGCTTCTTTCTAACGAGCTTCTGACCACATCCACGAAGCACACACCAGGGAATACAGACATGGCAGATAAGTTGGATACTTGGACTCCTCCCTTGTGCTGTCAGGACACATTGCATACTCAGAACTTCTACTTCTTTGGGGTTATCACACATGAGCAGTGTGCCAGGTATTGGAACTGCTATGTATAGTCAACAACAACCCAGCTGTTCTCATGTCTGCTTTAAGGAAGCTGGCCAATGCCATGATGGGCACAGAGGTCTAGAGAACAGTACAACTTCAATCACCCAAGGAGTTGCTAAAATTTAGTATACCACATTTTCATTGTGGAAAGTATTAGTGTTTTCTTTCCCTTGTGAATCTGTAGTGATTCTAAAACAGAGGTGAACTCAAAGGGCCTAAAAGAAATTCAGCATGATTTGGTACAAACCCTTGTTGTCACTGTTCTGGTCTGGTCCAAGTGGCTCATCTTATCACTAGGAATGGTGGGTAAAGGCTGCTCAGAGCTAACATGCATGGGCCTTTGTGTAAACCTATGGGCATACGGGAAGCCCTTTCATGGGCCCCTGGAAGCCACATTGACACATCTGAGATATACTCTTCAGATGGCTGCACTGTGTGAAAACTGTACTGCCAAGCAGTCAAGGCTTCTCCAGAGGACAGATGCAATACAGCCTCAAGGAAGAAAACACATAAGGTGGGTGCAGTGTTTCAGAAGAGTATTAGGAACAAAAATGGAAATTGGTTCTGGTAGCATTGGAAAGACTAATTCTGAGAAGGTGGGCAGGGCCAGTGCCTGCTGCTTCTGTTCTCAAAGCCCATTCTAGACATAGGAGGAGTGGCAGAGAAGTAGCTGATCAACAAGGCGAGGGAGCTGACTTCTCTTACTGTGCTGACCACGTGACAGGGTCACCTGGAGTCACAGTCCTTTTCCTGGTTCTGGCTCTCACCACACAGTGTGCTTGTGATATCCAAAGCTTTCCCACCTGGCTGGAAAGCTCAAGACAGAATGGCAGAACAGAACACAATGGAAAGTCCTAATGAGGATCTGAGGAGGTCTTCCCTCGAACTGGACATCTGCAAACTGGGCCCTGAGTGGTAGCCTAGTGGCTAAGTCTTGGCCTTGCACGTGCTGGAATCCAATATGGGTGTTGGTTTGTGTCCCAGCTGGTCCACTTCCCTTCCAGCTCCCTGTTTGTTGCCCGGGAAAACAGTGGATGATGGCCCAAGGTGTTGGGACCCAGCACCCTGCAGGGAGACCTGGAAGAAATTTCTGGTTCCTGGCTTCAGATCAGCTCAGCTGCAGACATTGCGGCCATTTGTGGAGTGAACCAATGGACGGAAGAAGATCTGTCTCTTTGTGGATTTCTCTGTAAATCTGCCTTTCCAATAAAAATAAATGAATATTTAAAATAAATAAATAAATCTACAGACTACCATTCAGTGTGAGACAGGAAGCCAACCATTCTAGAAATAAATAAGGCCCATCTCTAAATTGCAGTGAAGAAAACTATAAAACTTAATCGACAGTATCAGTGAGCTTGATAAACAGGAAGAAATATCATTTTTAAGAGCACTGTAAAAACCTCATTCTTTCCAACTTGAGAATTTTAAAAGATAATTAATAAGCAAATATGAGACAAAAATAATAGCTAAGGCAGAACATTTTTTAAAAGTTAGTATATATAATGCAATCCAACCTCAAGAATATATATGTATAGACATTCTACCCAATGCCTATGAGGAAATGCATCACAGTATACCAAGATGGTCTGAATTTTTCCAGTGATATAAGGAAAAGGATAAGGCGGTAAGGAAAGGAATACATAAAACTGGCTTTAAATCATGTATTGTTTTGGATGACCTTTGAAAACATTACGCTCAGAGGCCCTGCGCGGTAACCTAGTGGCTAAAATCCTCACCTTGGACACTCCAGAATCCCATATGGGTGCCAGTTTGTGTCGCAGAAGTTCTGCTTCCCATCTAGCTCCCTGTTTGTGGCCTGGGAAAGCAGCTGAAGCCGGCCCAAAGCCTTGGGACCCTGAACCCACATGGGAGACCCGGAAGAGGCTCTTGGCTTCTGGCTTCGGATCGGCGCAGCACCAGCTGTTGCAGCCACTGAGGGAGTGAATCACTGAACAGAAGATCTTCCTCTCTGTCTCTCCTCCTCTCTGTATATCTGACTTCCCAATTAAAAAAATAAATCTTAAAAAAGAAAACATTACGCTCAGTAAAAGCAGCCAGTCCCCCAAACCATACAAACAATAAGATTCCATGTTTATGAAAAGTCCATGACAGAGAGAAAGCAAGAGTGTCCAGGGATGGAGGGAGGGAGATGTGCATGACTGCCACTGAGTATGGATTTTCTTTCATGGAACACAATGTTCCAGAAGTAGTGGTAATTCCTGTACAGCCCCGCAGATGCACTAAAACAATCAAAATGAACTCTTCAGTTGGGTGATTTTTCTGGTGTACACAGTTTTTCTTGATAAAACTGTGAGATGCATACAGTGCAGCACTACAGTACCTGACCTGCAGCACTTCTCCTAAACAGATCAGCATTTACTAAAACAGAAATTTCACTACTCTACTGCACCAACACAGATAAGCAGCAGCGAACTAGAAACTATGCAGCTACCACTACGAGCTTACCAGAACTGGAGGAATGCTCCTGCCCTGCAGAAGTAGGCTCTGTGGAAGAGGTAGAGGCCGTAGGGAAGAGGTCCGATGTCGACGTTGATGGCTGTGGTTCCTCAAAGCACGCCTGAGTTAGGGGTGACGATGGCAGGGCTTGGGCATCATCACCTCGTACTGTACCTGAGGTATCTTTGGTCGTGTGGAACACGTTTTCTTTATTCGCTTCTGTAACCACAAAAGGAGCACAGGGAGCACACATTCAGGGCTCAGGTGGGCACCAATTTTCAGAGAAGGGTTCTTGCATATGCATCTGTACCCTTGCCTTAATCACACTTACCAAAGGATTCCTGTGTCAGGCTTTGCTTTTCACTTAAAGATTCGTACAGGTATGCCACATCTAAAAGGAGATTCATCAAATGAGAGAAGTAGTGGTGGTCAGGTGGAGAACTCATTTTTCTCTTGCTCCCTCCAGGCACTGCACAGTCTACTTGTCTCTGTTGATTATCTGGGATTAGCAGCTAGTAATAACATTTACTGATTTAAGAATTTCCAAAACAAGGGATTCAAAATAGTTTTATCAACTTAAAAAAAAAAAAAAGACCTGTAGTGAAAATGTCTGCATGTGGAGGTAAACAGAGCTGAAGGGTCCATTCAAACTTCTGAAAGGAACAGACACAGATCCTTCTATGTGGGAGAGGGCTGGTTTTGATTATTTTGCAGATGACCTAAAAGATAGTATCTCCCTTCCTCCTCTTCCTCACCTCCAACAACAGCATTTAACTAATTATGGGTGCCCTTAAAAAGACTCCCTGCTCACTGTTCTACATTATTTCTCCATAAGCCCAGACTCCCGGAGGTGGGAAGGTTCTCTAGGAACCCAATCAAACCTAACCGAACCTTTGCGATCTCTGGGAAAGTCTGCAAAAGTAGAACCATTGTGTCAAAGCTCTGACCCTAACCCATCCCACGCATTATTGCTACTGACTTTAACCCCTTCCACACATCGCTCCTGACCCTAACCCGTCCCACACATCACTCCTGACCTTAACCCATTTTGTGCATCGCTCCTGACCCTAACCCATTCCATGTTATCGCTCTGTGGCTGCTATTTGGAGACGTACTGCCATGTTCTTGAAGCCTGACTCCAAATGTAAAGTCAGCATGGTCCCTCTCCAACAAGCAGTACTATCTACATCAACAATTGGGGGAACAGGGGAAACAGGCTTCCCTGGGCCAGCTGGACTTCCCATGGTACCCCGGGCGTGTGTCTAAGACCAGTAACTGTTCCTCTTTCTTACTGTGTTCTGGCTCATTCTTCCTGTACACCAAGTAGATGACATCCCCAGTCTGTAAAGGACAAGTCTGCTTGTTAACAACCTTCAGTTTATTAATTACTGTTCCATTTGTGCTGTAAAGAAAACAAAAATACAAGTTGTTCTAACTACAATATTTTAGAATTAAGAAAAAAAATCTTCTAAATAATTAGGAAAGTTAACTCAATATCACCATTTTTAACATACACAAAAAATGACAAAGTATTAAATGGTACACTTACAATTCCCCAAGAAAAACTTGCCCATTACTTCTTTACTAACAACCATGTGTCCTAACATTTCTGCTGTTCCAATGTCAGGTTCCTTCCCCCTGCTTCTTGGTGGACCCGAAGCCTCACCAACAGCACGACATTTTCATTTCCAACTTTTTGGGGTTCATTCCCTCCTCTCCAACAGTCAAACCTATACCAGTCCATTCCTAAATATACAACCTCTCCTAAGAGATGAATTCTAAGATGAAGCAGAATAAATGCTGGGCTAAAAGAACAGGGGGCCATACTAAGAACACGTGATCCAGGTAGAGTCAGATTGGAGAGACCAGGGCAGGAGTGCTAGGCACAAAGGGTCACTGGGACAAACAAGAAGCACTTCCCCAGGAGGGGTGAGAGGACACCTGGTAGGAAACGAGGAGTTAGCTGGGTGAGGATGGAATTGAGACAAGGGACATGCAACAAACACATCAGACATTCAAAAAGTCATATCTCTTTCTGTACAGGGTTATACAGTAAACAGCTTTGGTTTTGCCATCGCAATCTGCGAGCAGACAAGACAGTGTGTAAATGAGCGGCCATGGCTGTGTCCCAGGAAGATGTATTAAAGGGGCAGAAGCCACTATGTGATCTCAGTCTCAATTAACACACAGAGTAGGAGTCCTGCTTTGCCTAACTATCCATCCTCACTCTTACTGAACAAACAAAAAAACATTATTATTACAATCTCCACTTACCTTTCCTCCATGTCTTTTCACTGCTATTAGGGTAAAAGTCCAGACTTCCCAGCACGGCTTTGTCACTTACTACTTGCTTAATGCCTATGCGCCTCCAAACATAGGACTCCTTTTGAGTGAATCTCCTCCTTCCCCTAGCCTACCTCAGTCAAGCAACACAGCATCTTTGGAAATAGAAAAGCAGGAAGCTGACTTTCCCACTGGGGCTTCCAGGATGAGCTAGCCCTCCTTAGACCTTCACTTTGGACTGCTACAAGACAGTTAATTTGTGCATGCTTTAAAACTTTAATTAATTTCATTTACAAGACTGAGAGGGAAAGAGACAGTCAGACAAAGAAAGAGGAATCGTCCATCCTCTGGTTCATTTCCCAAATGCCTGTAACAGCTAGAACTGAGCCAGCTGGAAGCTAGGAGCCTGGAACCTCATCTGAGTCTCCCATGTGGCCATCACCTGCTATCTTCCGGTGTGCATCAGCAGAAAGTTGAAGTAGCAGTGGAGGAGCCAGAACTCAAACGATGCCCTCATATCTGAGATGAGGCATCTTGTCCACCAATTTGTGCTGTCTCAATTGGTAATTGGTAATTTTCCCAACAGCTCCAGGAAACCTCTGGGTTATGTGAAAACTTACTAATTCTTCAAGATTTTTTTGGCTAGTGGAAAAGAAGTAAAACTTGAATACATTTTACCACAAAAATTAACTCATGTCTTTTAGGTCTTATTTCTGAAATATGTTTGTTTTAATTTGAATGTGAGATTTGAGGTACCAAAGAGTCAGAGTGTCCCTCACTGGAAACCACAAAAATACATCCTCAAATACTCTCAGAGCCTAAGTTAGCTACTATATTATGGAAAATGAGCTGAAAATTTCAGTTTCCCCCAGCAGTGACACACAATACACCCATGTTGGAAATGACACTTCTGAAGCTGCCATGAGGTAATAGAGATGATGTTTGCAAAGAGCTCACCTGGTGTCCTCCAGTGTCACCTGACCAGATTTTTCATCCACTACAAGTTTACAGTGATCTCCAGAAACCAGTTTGTTGCTGGGGAATGAAAGGTCACAACCTAAACAAAGAGGGCGAGAGGACAGCAGGGATGTATCACAGTGTAACTCTTTTTGCCTTTTGTTTCACTGTTAGATGTGAAACTAGGGTTCTACCATACATGCTTAAGGAAACAAGAACAGAAACTCATAAAGCACAAACTGTTCTGAGCCCAGAAGCAACTTCTTAAAGACAATGCCATAATATGCACACAGACAGCCAGACTAATACATGTTAGAAATTAATAAAAAAGGAGCTTACGTAATCCTTCAGTATCTCAACCTAGTTCTTATTTTTTTTTCTCTGTGCAATTTTAGATTTCATAAGTCAGCCCCAAATTAAAGCAATGGCAGAGACAGAACATGAGTGCATCATTATAGGTACATGTGCATGCATGAATAAGATGTAAACAGAAGGGTAGGGCCTGGCAATGTGGCATAGCAGGTTAGACCACCAACATCCCCCAGGACCCAAAACCGTAAGCCACAGCAGAATGCGCTGCTATTATCCTAACAAGGCTATCCCTTCCCTAACCCTTCTAGGTCGCTCACGTAGGGCAGCCACAGTCCTCATGGCACCTCTACACATGTGCAGCAGCACAGGCTGTGGTGACAGCACCTTGTCTGCAGGGTTTCACCCTCTACCAATTAAAGACAACACATTTTCCCAAAGATTCTAAGGAAATGTAAATATTCGTACAGTTGTAAAAATGATTTAACATGATATTGGGATATAAGTGCAAAGAAAAACCAAAAAACAAAAACAAAAGCCCTAGGGTCATATACACAGAGTGGTAAAACTAACCAAAATCACCTGTGAGTGAGTGAAGGAACTTTCTCCCATGTTAGCTTCCCAGATCCACAGAGTCAGTAAATGTTTCTAGCAGTCACAGCTTGAGAATTCCCTTCACCCTGGCACTAACAGGTATAAATTTGCCTCTGAGCACATTTAAACTCCATCGCATGAGTTCTGGTACTTTCTCTACATATTTTCAGATTTATTTCAACGGCAAAGTCACAGAAACCCAGGGTGGGAGCGCATAGAGAGAGATTTCATTCACTGGTTCACTCCCCAAATGGCAGCAAAGGCCAGGGCTGGACCAAGCAGAAACCTGGAGCCAGGTCTCCCAGGTGGGCACAGCACCAAGGACTAGGCCACCTTGCCACTTTCCCAGGCCACTCGCTGGGAGCTGGATTGGCACTGGAGCAGCTGGGACATGAGGTGGCTTAATGCCCTAGGCCACCAGGCTGGCCCTGTCTGTGTATGCCAGCGCCACTTCCATTCGTCTCAAGGTGTGCCAGAACATCCTTGTGACTGACCTGACGAATTGTTTCAGGCTCTGTTGCTTAACTTCCACAAAGCCGTGCATTTTTCCAGTTCTCCATTGCTGCTCCCTTAATAGCCAGAGAAGCTAGCTAGTATGGTAGCAAATCTGAAAAGTCTGCAAGCTAGAGATGCTTCTGCAACTACTTTATGAAGTCACGATGAGAGCAGAAGAGCACCCCCAAGCATTAGGCCAGGGAATAAGCAGTGGCTCCTCTGGGAGCCCACCTCACGGAAAAAAACCAGCAGGCACAACACGTCCTGCACTCCTGCTCCCCAGCCGCGCACCCCCGATCCACCTGGTCCCTCGGTGCCCAGGCCGTGCGCACACCCGCCTCAGCCCGGTCCCTCGGTGCCCAGGCCGTGCGCAAGGCCCGTCCCGGCCCATCCGGTCCCTCGGTGCCCAGGCCGTGCGCACACCCGCCTCAGCCCGGTCCCTCGGTGCCCAGGCCGTGCGCAAGGCCCGTCCCGGCCCATCCGGTCCCTCGGTGCCCAGGCCGTGCGCACACCCGTCTCAGCCCGGTCCCTCGGTGCCCAGGCCGTGCGCACACCCGTCTCAGCCCGGTCCCTCGGTGCCCAGGCCGTGCGCACGGCCCATCCCGATCCACCTGATCTCTCGGTGCCCAGGCCGTGCGCACACCCGCCCCGGCCCACCCGGTCCCTCGGTGCCCAGGCCGTGCGCATACCCGCCCCGGCCCGCTCCCTTGGCACCGCCGCCCCGCACCTTTCCTCCGCCCGATGGTCCACTCCCGCTTCCATAGCAGAACGTGCGGCTCGCCCTCGTCTGCGCCCAGCCGGCGGAGCCTCCCCCAGGGCTTCTGCGGCGACGGCTGCTCGCCTTCCTCGGGCCGCTCCATCGAAGTCACATCTGACGAGAGCCCGGAAGCATCCGCTGAGGACCCTGCGGCCGCACAGACCGAGGCTCGGGGCCGCCGCTCCTCCCGCGCGCGCCTCCAGGCCTCGGGCCGCCCACGCCCCAGCCGGCTCTCCCCTCCACGGCCGCGGCTGTGTCCTCCCGCCGGCTTCCCGGCCCTCTCGGCAGCCCCGCTTACCCCCCGGCCCGCGCCGAACCCGGAACCGGCGGCACCGCCGCGGCTGTCAACAGACATTGCGGGTCCCTCAGCTGATCCGCGGGCGGGGCCAGCCAGCATCCCCGGCCTGCGATTGGCTGTCCTTGGCGCCCACCGAGAGCGGCGGCTAGAGCAGCCACCAAGCGGAGGCGTGCGTGCGGAGCGGAACGTGCGCCCTCGCCAGGCCGTGGGCCGGTCCGTCATCGTTGATGTTGGCCGGAAAGACTTCCCCGCCCGGGATCGCGCCATGTTAAGTTGGGGCAGAGAGAACGGGCGTTCGTACTCTCGAATCCTTTCAAACAGAGGTGTCCACGGCTATACCCTGAAGCGCCAGGCGCCCTGTCTTTGACCAGGTGGGTGTAGGTGGAAGCCAGCTTCGGATCACAGAATCTGCAAAGATTGATAGCATGAGGAAGCCCCTGGCAAGTGAGTGAGTACTTGCGAGTCCTAGGCAGAATTGGAGTCAGGCTCTGGCAGAATCGTCACCTTGTATATTATTTATTTGAAAGGCAGAGTTAACAGAGAGAGAGAGGATGTGGGGAAGGGTCCTTCCATCTGCTGCTTGACTCCCGGAGATGGCCGCAAAGGCCACTGGTAGACTTGGCCGCACTTGGTGTCCCACATGGGAGCAGGATCCGCACTGGGCGCAGCAACAAGGAGCTGGGTCGGAAGCGGAGCTGTTGTGCCCAGATTTTGAGATCCCCAGCAATCACCAGGAGTCTGACGTCAGTGCAAATGCACAAGGATGGTTTACTCAAGCTCTGCAGGTTAGAGTTTGATTCTTGGCTGAGAGCAGGCAGCCAGCTGACCAACGCCCCTTACTGGAGTGCAGCCCCAAACAGCACATTCACAGTGTTTTTATAGGGGCAGTCCACAATAGCTTGAAAAGGGCCCATTCACAATAGCCTGCAAGGTGAGGGGAAATACCACACATGCCCTACCTATCTCAGATGGGTAGTTCATGCCTGGCCTTTAAGGTAACCACCTAATTACTTGGAGCCACCTGTGAGATAACCAGACTTGAGTGGGCCTTGATTCATGAGAATTGGAGCCCATCGGTGCTAAAGGTCACATAGGCCATTGGCCTGCAAGCTCACACAGTTTCTTAGTAGCAATGAGCCATGAACAAATGGTTGGGATTTTGATCCTAAGGTTCCTGAGAGCAACCTGATCTAGAACTAACCACATTTGGCATCTTTATGCCCTGCAGCGCAACCCTGGCCCCCAAATCTGTTTAAACATATTTCCCACGACTTGGCGTTTCCACCTCCTGGACTCTAGCAGCACTCCTGTGTGCCCACCAAAGAATGTTCAAGATTTCACCAAGCCCTGCGGAGAGACAGCTGGTCGGGAGCTTTTCAGCTTTCCAAATCATATCCATAATGGTTTATTTGAAAGTCAGAGCGTCAAAGAAAAAGAGGAGAAACTAAGCTTCCATCACTGGTTTTAAGATTTTACTGTTCGAAGAAGGCAGCTGAAGTAGGAAAGAATTTATGGAGGCATCATGAGGAGAGGTAGTGTTTGAGCAGCAGGAAGAGTCCCTTCTGCAGGGCCTTGTCGCAGATTCCACCAGCCTCCGCCAGATGCGTCTGCTTCTGCTCTCATGGACCCATTGGATTTTGTTAAGCTTCAGTGTCCTGACACTTCTTTTTATTATTATTTTTATTTTTAAAGATTGTCAAAACTAAAGAAAAAAATGAAACAAAAGAACGGAGATTTATTTAATTTTTATTGGAAAGGCAAATATACAGAGAGGAGAGACAGAGAGGAAAATCTTCCACCCAATCGTTCACTCCCTAAGTGACCTCAACAGCTGGAGCTAAGCCAATCTGAAGCCAGGAGCCAGGAAACTTGTTTCTGGGTCTCCCATGTGGGTGCAGGGTCCAAAGGCTTTGGGCGGTCCTCGACTGCTTTCCCAGGCCACAAGCAGGGAGCTGGATGGGAAGTGGGGCAGCTGGGGCTCTGTTACACATAGGATGCTAGTGCTTGTAGGCGGAGGATCAGTCAGTTGAGCCATCATGTTGGCCACGGAGTTAATAACTGAAAGGTAGAGTTACAGAGAGACAGGTCTTCAAGCTACAGGTTCACACGTCTAAATGGCCACAACTGTCGGGGCAGGGCCAGACCCAAACCAGACGCTTCTTCCGGGTCTCCCACGTGGGTACAATGGCCCAGCGCTTGCACCATCTCCGTTTTTTCTCCCGGGCCAGTAGCAGGAAGCTGGATCGGAGTTGGGGCTCCGAATCTCAAACCTCGTTGGCTCCATCTCCAACCCCAGACCCGCCCCTCGGCGCGCGCCGGGCTTGTGACCCGACCTTGCGCTTAGCCTCTCGGGAGTTGTAGTCGCCTCCCTGGCCACCGCCTCATGACACATTTCCGTGTGCGCCGCGTGTGGCGCTGTTTCCGGCTGGGCCCGGGTCAGCTGTGGTGCGCCCGAGCGTCCGGTCGGAGTCCTTGTCCCCAGTCCATGGGCCCCGGGAGGACAGGAGCTTGACCGGCGCGCCCTGCCAGCCCGGGACGCGGACGGACCTGCCGGCCTCGCGGGCCTCCGTGCGTGCCGCGCGGCAGGGCACCAGCTCCCGGCGTGCCCACGAGTGACCGGTGACGCGTGGGGATGGCCACCGGGTTACAAACGGCTTCGTGTCGGGTAAGCGAGGGCGGCAGAAACGGCACCGTCAGCTCCCCGGGTCTGCCGTGGAAGGAGCCGCCCAGTGCTGGCCGCTCCTGCTCTGTCCTTGGCTGTGCTGGCCAGGAGGCGAGCGGGTGCACAGAGCCCGCGGGGAGGGAGCTGAGAGCCTGCCCTGATCCCCGCTGCTTGCCCGGCCAGGGTCTCACGCATGTTTGCTGCTTCTTCTTCTTCTTCTTTTTTTTTTTTTAAGACTTTTTAAAAATTTTATTGGAAAGTCAGATATACAGAGAAGAGGAGAGACAGAGGAAGATGGATGTTTCACTCCTCAAGCGGCCGCAATGGCCTGAGCTGAGCCAATCCGAAGCCAGGATCCAGGAGGTCTCCCACGTGGGTGAAGGGTCCCAAGGCTTTAGGCCACCGTCCTCGATTGCTTTCCCAGGTCACAAGCAGGGAGCTGAATAGGAAGCGGGACTGTCAGGATTAGAACCGGCGCCCATATGGGATCCAGGCGCGTGCATGGCGAGGACTTTAACCACTACGCTATCACTCCGTGCCCGTTTGCTTCATTCTAAATGTGCTTTATCTAGATTCACTTTGTCGGAAGATGGAAGAGCAGAAATGGTTGCTCCACTGTGGATCCTGTGTCGCCCAAGGGAGTGGGGTGGAGTCACTGCTGCTTCCCAGAGTGTGCGCTAGCAGGTTCCAAGAGGAGTTACTGAGACTCAAACCAGGCACTCTAGTCTGAGATGTGGGCATCCCAGGTGACCACCAAACATTGTGTACCAAACACTTGACCCGAAGTTTAGGTTCTTCCTGCCCCTTTAAAGACCTGAAAGCAACTGGTGTTTGCTTGGGTTGTTGCCAGATGGCCAGGCTCAGTGGAGCTCTTCAGAGATCACCTTCTTGAGGAAGACGGTGTAATGGTGTGGTTCCCTAAAGAAAGTACCTCTCGTGGGCCAGTACCTTGGTGCAGCAGGCTCATCTGCCAGTGGTGCCTGCATTGGATGTTGGCGCCACTTTGAGTCTGAAGAACCTAGGTGTTTTCTGCCTTTTGTAATTCCTGCCTTAATGGCTTGGCTGGGGGCTGTGTGAACTTTAGGCCTGACACCCGGCAGGACACCCGGCAGGTCATGTAGGCAGACCACTCCTCAGGAAGGAGGTACCTGGTGTTTGATAAGATTCAATGCCCTATAGCTCATCGATTTGTACTTTTTGAAAGTTGCTTGCTTCAAATCCACCAATAGAAGCCTGCTAAATCATGACTGTATAATTAATAGCCTGAAATGTATAAGAACTTCTGGGCTGTTCAACCAGAGGCTCTTGTTCTGTTCTCTGGCTCGCTTGTTCCTTTTTGTCCTCCCTGAGGATCCTGCAGCAGCCTTGGCTGTGGCTGCCCCTCCCAGCCTCAGGGAGGTGGCTGGGAGACCTAGGTTAACTTGAATAAACCACCTTCATGCCTTAGCACCGACTTCAGACTTGATGATTTTCTGGGGATATCAAAATCTGGCACAACAAATCTTGTCTGCCCCACTTCCCATGCAGCTCCCTGCTTGTAGCCTGGGAAGGCAGTCCGGGACGGCCCAAGTTCTTGGGACCCTGCACCCACGTGGGAGGAAGCTCCTGGCTCCTAGCTTCAGATTTGCTTAGCTTTGGCTGTTGCAGCCATTTGGGGAGTAAAGTAGTGGATGGAAGATCTTTCTGTCTCGTTCTCTCTGTAAATCTCACTTTAAAAAAACAAATGAATAAATCATAAAAAATGAGTAAATTTAAAAAAAGAAGGTAGTGAGGGGATGTCAGAGAGGGTAGTGCTATGACCTAGTAGGTTAAGTCTCTGCCTGTAGTGCCTGCATCCGATATAGCTGCAGGTTTGAGTCCCAGGTGTTCCATTTATGTTCTTGCTTCCTGTTAATGTGCCTCAGAAAGTAACAGGATGACCCAAGTCCTTGGGCTCTTCATCTGCCTGGGAGACCTGGAAGAAACTCCTGGCTTCCAGCTTTGGACCAGCTCAGCTCCAGCCATTGTGGGTGTTTGGGGAGTGAAACAGTAAATGGAAAACCTGTTGCTCCTTGTAAATCTGCCTTTCAAATAAAAGTAAATTAAAAAATTTTAAAATAAATGTTAAAAAAAAAAAAAAACTTTGCTAGAGACTTTCCATTCAGTTTGTTCCCACTTGGACCTCGGTTTCGGTCCCACCTCACCTATTGCCTCGCAAGGCCTGCATTCGCAGGAGGTTGGAGTTTAGAGTTGAGCTGGCATTGAACTCCAGCGCTGTGGTGTGGAATGTCTTCGCTGCTGTGCAGATGTTGGTCCCACCAAGTTCCTGTTTTCTCAGTTTCCTTTCTTTTGTTCCAATTGGTGTCTGGGTGCTCCACTTCCAAGCAAGCTCTTCTGGTGGCTTGGGAAAAGCAACAGCAGTGGCCCAGGTGTTTGGGCCCTGTGACCCA